CGATAGCAAACCACTTGAACTCGCCCCGAAATCATGTGTAAGCAAGTGCCACCTCTCTCACAGGCACTTCCAGGCATGGCTAAACGCAGATAACACTAGACTTGGCTTTGCCAGCGGCCACTGCCGACTGAGCCAGCAATTCAAGTTTCTGATGATTCCTGTCCTTTATCAACAACCCGGGATGCGATCCGAGTAAAACCACTACTTAGACGCTACAAATTGCCGACCCTGGCATGACATGAAAACGCAAAGGCTATTCAACCTGCACGTGCACTGGATTCTTACCTTTATTTCATCGTTCACTCACGGTTAACACGTTCAGTTTGTTCTGTGTCTGGTGGGGAGCTGTGGCGGACAGCCAACGATGCTGTATTCCTTCCAGGCCAGCTGCCTCAAAAGGCATGCATCGTCACAGGCAGCCGTTTCCGACTTACTAACCTGAAGACCCTTGATCGATGACCACTCGTGCACAGGCGTGTCCAACTAATCGCGGTTTCCCAATGGCCACTCGAATATGCCAACTACAGCCAACGCACCAGGGGCCTCTTCAGGCGTCATCCCTTCGGGCAATGCAACATAACAACAACACACCACTTGAACTCGCTCACAATCATGTAAATGCGACTTTCATCGCTGTCAGACGTTCTCGAGCACGACTGGGCGCAGTCCGCACCGGCGCTGGCTTCGCCAGTAGCCGCTGCTGCCTGACACGGCAATTTAGGCTTCTGTGCAAAATAAAGTCCTCACGCTAATGGCTTCTGCCTTTTATCAACAGCTTCGGATTGGGCCTAACGGTTTTATTTATTCGATTAAAAACACTAGTTACACCGCTACATGTGACTTTTCCATTAGCAAAGCGTGCGCTTCGTTGTCAGGCGCCACTGGAGGAAGCTCTCTATGTCACGTGGCCAAAGCTGTTTCAAACTGGGACCGTACTCCGCTGTAAACTCTAACAGACATACAATCTCCATTTGTTTACTTCATCGCGGTACCTAAAGTCATAAAGTGACCCTAGTTAATACGGCCTTCACGCCCACTCCTGAATCGGAAGAAGGATTCCAGTTAAGAAACCATTTCGGGATGATCGAACGATAGGTTGCAGCAAGTTGGCAGCCGGACGAATGCTGTCCTTATCAGTGTAAGCAGGAAGCTGTTTCATGAATGAATACTGACTGAACTAATTTAGAGAATACTGACACCTTTATTTGCACATCCGTATGCGGACCGCAGCGATGGAATCGGGTGGAAATTTCTCTGCTTACTGCGTATAAACACTGGAACCTCAATTAACGTGTTAATTTCATTTTAACATCAAAATGTAGAATATAATAAATAATTAGCTGCAGGTGACTGAGTAGCCATCCCCCCACCCGAGAGGGGTACTCAACGGGGGACACGTGCAAACACACGCGCACTTACAAGTCGCTAACCGAGCAGAAGCAGGTAAAGTGGAACAGTTTTCCTGCCAGTGGCTGGCTTGTTACCAAAAAAATTTGTAGATAGGGCTGCTCACTATCTGGGGCTCATGGGATTTTCCAAAAGGTTTCTGCAATTCATTTACCTCAGACGGCGATTGAAGTCTACTAATCTGACGTTAATTGACGTGTTGTTGACGCTTGTAGTCCTGCAGGTGTTCGACACTCCCAGTCAGTCGAAAAGTCTTCCAAATATTGTTTTATCCTTTAAGTAGAATTGAAGTTTGGTGGGGAACACCCGTCACAATGAAAGCTGGATCTCGCCATCTCGACCAGCAATAAAGGTGACCGAGGCGAGATTGAGTGAAGCCAAGAACATAACGATGATGTACGCAAATGTACTGAGTCTATTCAACAAATTGGATGAACTCAAACTCGCCGTGGACCATGCGCAACCTGACCTGATAGCGCTAACTGAAACATGGTAGACTGAGCAGATGCAGAAGTCAGGCTGGAAGGATTTAAGCTTATCCGCATGGACAGAAACGGACGTAGGGGTGGGGAAATCGGGAGTTTCATACGAGATGGTATCAACTACGTCCCAGATAGTTTGTCATCACACAGG